GGGGTCAATGTAGGCATATATGGCATACATGGAGTGTTTGGGATCAGTTTGCACTTAAGAATTACTCAGACACCATGTCTGGAAATGTCTGGAATATATGCCACCCCATGTATTGACCCCAATATGCAGGTCAAAACTCCATACGTGGAGTGTTCGGGCAAATTATTGTTACGTCAATAGATGTTACTGTTACTGTTGAGGCTGTCAATAGCTATACAGATGATATAATGTTATATTATCCCCCACCCCTTGCTAAAGAAATCAAGGGGGGGTGAGGTAAAAGAAATCAGCTCCAGTTTCTTTTTCTAATTCCCCTTCCAACCAGGACCCCTCCGTGAATTCTGGCTCAGCAAAGGCGGTTCTAGTTCATGAACATGGACTTAAGCAGACATGCAAAACTGAAGTGTCTTGTAACCAAAGAAAATTATGGCCTTTCCATGTCAGACTGGAGTGTCTTGTAACACCATGCATAACGGCGTGTTCCGTGCAGGTCACAAATTTCACCACTAATATGCTTTCTATGAACAACCACCCGGGGGGGAAGCCATGAAGGGGTAAGTCATGGCTGCTGCGCCGCCGGTGGAACCTCCACAGCACTGCTCTGCCCGGCTTCTCAGGCTTCGGGAAGAAGAACAGACCATGTGGCTCTACTGCGTCTTGGCAGCAAGATTGTGCAAAACCCTCGTTCAAGGCCCCTGGTAGTGAAAAGGATTTCTCATGACTTCTCAACATATCGCACGTAGAAGGGACCACAGAAACCCACAGAAAGCTGGTCTTAGTTATGTGCTGTTCGTGTATCTGCCACAGCACATGGTTGGCTTGGACATGCTTGGGCTTTGTTCGCACGCCTGTCTACAGTCGAACCTTCCTTGAGACAACAGCGGCAGTAACCGGCTCAGGTGGGACAAGGTTTGGAGAAGCACCTCTTGCCTTGCCAAAGACGTGAGGAAGCTTGCGTCCAAGAGCAAGGCAAAGCAGGCCCGGCATGAATGGCTGACATCGCAGTCCCGTCCCTGCAGTTCCCTTGCTTTCTTCTAAGCATTAAAAACACACGAACGAATTCTTGAGTACATCAACTGCTTGGTGCCTGGGTGGACGAACACATATAGAATGCAGAGTTAAATCCTTCCAAAGGTCTCCAAGGTTTCCAAGGACTATAGACTATAGATGGCACACGATGGAATCTCTGTTGAATCAAGGGTTACTTCTATCATAGCCTCCATGTTTCAATTACCCACTTGCACAGCCAAACACAAGGACCAGTGGGTACCAAGAACGAAGCCGTGGAACCATGATCAGAACCGAACCGTCAGAATCACCTCCCATAGCATCCAGGGTGTATGGGGATAGAGAATGCTTGGCGTTGATTTCAAACATTTTTGCCTTCGACCCGCCGTAGCCATTTGCGGTTTCGGGTTTGGGTCTCTGGCCTGTGCAGAGTGGCAGGCCGGGCAGCGAACGAGCGCACAGAGTTTTTCAACAGATCTGCCAATAGCCAATGAAGGATGCCTTTTTTGCGGCTTCTTTGTTGCTTTCCACATGAAGCGGGTGGTGCAGCGTGAGCTCCACCCAGCCGGCGAATCTCCGCTCCTTTCTGGCTGTTGCGCCCAGGCTTTGTGGGCGACGCCATGGTTCAAACGTATTGAAACAATTGAAATCGGATGAAATCGGAGTGCTTGGCAACCTTCATGAGTTCAAGGCCCTTATGCCACATCTGCCATCTCCCCCACGTATCACTATAGAATCATATAGAATTATAGAATCTATAGAACACCAATAGCTCGGATCACGTCGTGGGGGTGCTTCTTGAATGCTCGAACCAGAAACAGGATTGCGCCGCTTGAAAGTCGAGCAGCAGGGCGACATGTTCAAAGACAGTTTCCGCTTCCTCTTTTGTTCATCTGAGGCTGAAGAAAGAAGCCCTCCTGTGATTTCGTCGCTGCCACAAGGACGGAACGAGGGACACGGTTTTCAATGTTCTTTAGTGCGCAAGGTTACTGGAACCCCTGATTGCAGATCTGTTCGCAGCTGAAGAGAAGTCAGAAGGAGCCTTGAGCCGAACTGAGTGCGAACACCGCTCTGACGCAGAACATATCAACGACAGGATCCGTTCGCCTTGAAAACATTTTCTGAACATCCTATATCACAACAGCCGCGTCCACTTGCGGGTTCATCGGTGTCACACCTCATCCAGTTGTCGTCGCACCACGTCCATCACACCGAGCCACTGATCCTGCTTGACCTAGTATAAAGCAATTTGACCTAGTAGCAGATATGACCAAGACTTCGGCGAAAGCATATGGAAAAGCCACATCTGTTCTGAAAGCATTCTTTCGCGACACGCGGCGCAGCTTCGAGACGGCTGCGCGGGAGGTGCTCAAGAGGCCCGAAGGGGCCCACGGCGTGTTTCGTCGGTTTTCGGTTGTTGTTCCTCAGTCTTTTGGAATCTGGACCATAATTTTCCAAGCCCGAATCTATATCCATAGCCCAGAAAACAAGCAGTACACATCCTGACAATCTCAACAACAGCAAATCTCGATATCAGTTTTTCGGTGCCAACCGGCTGCTTCCTTAATCTCCTTCAGTGACGCAAAAAAAATACTAGCAGGTCCTTTCCGAAGATAGGTCTGGCGGCAGCGTTCTTTTTTGGAGCGGTCGCTGGTATAGTGGGGGCGTGGTGCATTCTGGTGTTCTTGGAGGCCTTTTTTTGTTGGGTGTGAACTCATGTATGGGTGCTCAAATCCTATCATGTCCTCTCGAACCTCTTGCACCAAAAGAGACCCAGCCAAAACTCATTGATCCCCACGATCCACCTGCGGAAGACACCGGCCCGGGGTTTTCCCATCCACCACCCCGCTCGCGCGCAGCCGACCGCTCGGCTCGTGGGGTCGCCTCTTTGCTGAGTATATATAGTCCCGAGCACCGAACGCAACCCCCAACAAAAGCCTTCTCGGTGCTTCTCGTTGGCCTCCGGGGCAGGTCCCCATGACGCGGATCCGTGACATCGCTCACCGCGGCGGAAAAAGAAACCGGGGCGCTTGCCACATGGTGGGTCACTGGTGTATTTTCATTGGGAAAAGAAACTGGAGGTCATTTCCCACCCCCTATAATACAACATGTAAAGTCTTGTAAATGTCATGGGTGCTTATGTCCAAGGTGCAAACTGCAAAACTGATTGTAACCGTAACCCGAAATTCACGGACCAAGTCTCGTGTCGTGCTTTGGCGGGATGTCCGAGCCTGCAGGCTCTTTGATGCGGAGACCGAGTCACGACGTAGCAAGTTGGTACTCGATTGGCACAGCGAGCTGGCGGAACGGCCTCAGGTGGTGCTGAAGGGCCCATTTGTCCGATTAAAGCTGCAACACTCAAGGTACGCCTGAGCCGTGTGCGGGGCGCATGGGTGCAGCAGGGGGCGTAGGGCGCACGGCTAGATATGGAAAACGATTGGAAACGACAACTTTAGAACAACTTTAACAGGTCGCTCAAGCCCAACGCAGCTTTTCTAGGACTGCAGCAAGGTATTAAATGCCTGTTAAACAATCAAGCACTTGTCATGGTTATGATGCCTGCGAGAATTCCCCAGGACATCTTAAGACCATTCGGCGGCATGTGCAGCAGTAGTCTCCCAATGTAAATAACTATCACAGTTTTGCGCATCAGCTGATTTGTTTTTTTTCCCGAACTGGGTGAATCCCCCAAACCTGGTGAATATGGTTATTCTTTCCAGGTTCCTGGACAGCAAATATTCCATTATATTCCATACATGCATGGTCTGGGATTCTTAAAAAAAACATCCGAAGAGCCGAATTGACGTTCGTGTCCCAATCTGGTAGTTCATCGCCTGGGAAATCCTGGAACATGGGAGCTGCCTTGGGAGCTGCTCGCATCTCCGACGCGAACAGGTCACGTTGCTATGCCGCTGAGCTTCCCAGTGAGGTGCCAGCGGTGTGGGAGCTGCGCTTTGATGTACATGAAGATGGGTATCAGTATGGCTTTGGAGTGGAGAGTGACCTCGAGGCAGAGGACAAGCGAGGCCAGATCGCAGTAGTAGGTGATTTTCCCATTTTACAATGACCCTCCCTCCTATGAACTCATATGAACCTCCGAATACCAAACAGGGGATGGAGTCCACGGAACCCATCTATATTGTAGGGGTCCCATGAACTCCCCCCCACTCCCTGAAGCATCCTGAAGCATCCTAGGGCCCAGTGGATCAGTGGATCATCTGCAGGTCACCTTGTGGATTGGGGCTTGGGGACACCCCAAAAGGGGACACTGCGAACAGGTTGAACCAACGACGACTGTAACATACTGTAACCCTGGTTGGAACCCTGAATTTTCCAGGGAAACTGAAGGAGTCGGGCTAAGCTGGGCCCAGCCTAGGATATACCTTTGGGTTCGTGCGCCCCCCAAACGAAGGAAGGACCGTGGACACCTTGGCCAAGCTGTTTGGTGATGAGGATCGGAACAGGGAGCAGCCCACGCGGGCCTGGCAGGCACGATTTGGATTTGATGGCCTGACATGTGATCATCCAGGGCGACATTTCCGCGAAGTCTATTGGATTGAGGAACTGCCAGTGGTGATCTTCTCCAGTAGTGATGGATCAGATCCCAATGACAATGGCCGCATCTACAGTATCTTTGTCGAGCCAGGCTCTGAGGTGCCACAGGAAGATCGGAAGCCAAAGCATGTCATCGCAGCCGATCTGGACTTCTCCCGCTATTAGACTCGGACCACCAACCCCGCACGGAGCCCTCCGGTCCGCGCCAGTGTGAATTTCTGACCTTCCCTCGGCGAGAGATCCATTCAGAAAGGGCTGGTGAGAGCTGGTGCGTTTGTATCAAATCAGATCATTCCACCGGAACTCTTTGTTGGATTAGATCAGATGTTTTTGTCCTATATATATATATATTATAGTTTTATTTGTTCATGAAGCTGGAACTGGACGTCCTGTGCCTCATAAAAGATCATAAAAGACCGTGCCGGCCTGTTTGCCAGGAGTACGTCAACTATGCCAGACTGAAAGGCGAGGCCCAAGTTGAGAGACAGAGAGAAGAGTAGTATAGACAGTACAGCAGTAGTTAGAGAGAGGGAGGGAGAGAGAGAGAGAGCAGTATGTCAGGTGTGGGTGTTTTTGTCATGGTCTTCTTGGTCTGAGATGGGGGTGTCAAAGTGATTCGGGTACCAGAAGTCACATCTGCCGAACGGGAAGGAAGGAGAACAGGGCTAGGTACCCCGGATGGGACGAAGCAAACCACTCCAACATGTGACTCCTGGAAGAGAGTCTTGATACTGGTAATGCCCAAGGAGCTACGAATGTAGCTTCTTGTTCCTAGTAATGCCCTTGTTCCTAGTAGCGATCCCCGGAGCTACTAGTAGCGTCCTTAAGTTACTAGTGGCCGGAGTCACGCCGGGAACCGCCGAGGCCTCGACGAAAAGGACTTCGAACAATGCCCTCCCACCGCACAGCAGGTGAGGCGGTTCAGCGCCCTGTGGAATACTTCGGGTCCTAGAGCACTTAAACATTGGTGCCGGTAAGAAGAGATGAGTTTGGTTTTCTTCAATGTCAAAATATTGTTGGAATGTTGGCTAATTGATGGCTGGAGGTCTTTGGTTTTGGTCATTCGTGGTCATGCCAAGGGATTGCTCATCCGCAACAAATTGGTAGACTGCTGTTCACACACCGAGAGGCAGGCCAGTCGCCAGTCGCGAAGAAAGTTCAGTGCTTCAAGTCCCCAGACGTCATCCTGTACTCTTTCTTAGTAACAAGAAGCTACTAGTAACAAGTAGGGCATCGCTACTAGTAACAGGTCATTACTACATACTAGGAACAAGAAGCTACCAGTAGCTCCTTGGGCATTACTAGTAGTAGCTCCTCGCTCCTAGGAACAAGGGCAATATATAGAAGCTAGTCGGATTTGGAACGCCGTGCCGGGTTTCCAGAAGTGACGCCTTTTTGAAAGCGCATCCCTTTGCGCCAACATGTTCCAGTGATTTCCCCCGCTTGAGACCCAGACACTTTCCAGGCTTCAAAACATGTTGGAACTCATTATCTCACATGTCCATCATCCTTTGCAGCTGCTTTGCGTGCTTGGTCTCATTCGTTTTGCCGTCCGACCGACCTGTCCGTAGCCGACCCGAACGGGCCCCCCCGACACCGGGGGTTGGTTTCCGCCGTTCGGAAGCGCAGATCATTATCGACATGCTGTCCTTCCCAATGGCCGTGATCGAGGTGCCGTGATCGTGGGAGTGCTTGGGTCGTATGTTTCTGGGTATGCTTGGGAGTGGTTTGGCGCTTCCTGTTCTGTACCTTGTTGGATTGGTGGGTGTTCCGGTAGGGCACGGGTTTGATAGATTGAATCAAGGGGGGGCTGTGACATCTGTGGTTGAAGGAGAGTAACTGAGAAACTGAGAGGACATCGGAAGCTAGAGATGTCAGCTTGATCGATATGTCATGACATGTCCAATGGCTGGTTTTAATCTGAGCTGGTTTGGCACGAAGGAAGACTTAGATCTTCGTGTCGAAGAATATTGTGATCGGACCAGTCAGTCGTCGCCGTTGCTCGCAGAGACATTTGCTGATTCTGAAGGAATATATATGAACCGTAACAGTGAGATGTGTACATGGTCCTAAATGGCATGCAGCTATGCATGGATGACTAGGCCAGACTATGCTAGACTCTACAGGTGGTCATCACGTGGTTTTCTGGAAATCGTGTCACGGTTGGGATCATGTCCAGCCAACAGGCTTGCCGCTTGGCGGAGCACTACTGGAATCAGAGACACCTCGAGGCTCCTGGCAGGACAGGGGTTGAGACAGCGCCAGCAGTGCGCCAGGGCCTGGTCAATTGGTCCCTTATTATTGGACAGGTGTTCATACCCTTTTTTTGCTCATGTTTGTGTGACAAATACCTTTAGAATATAGTCTAGCGAGTCTAGTCATGAGAAATTAGTCAAGGTACTTCCCCACACCTCCTCGTTTGGAAGGTCACCCCTGGGATGGGTAAACACCCTGGAGGCGTGGATTTGCTTTGGCCATTGGAGCGGTGGAGCTGGACCCTTCGTTCAGACTCTCACCATCCTGCAGATCAGGTGCACATCCTCAACGCCTACGGCTCAGCGATGGCGGACTTGGGGAAATACGAGGACCGACACTCGTCCGACGAGTGGCGTCCGCGTCCGCGTCGTCCGGGCCGATCGATGTTCGATCGTCGGGGTGGTAGACGAAGCCTCGTATGCGTCCGTAGGACGTGAGAGACAAAGAGCTCCCGGTCATCGTGTCAAGATCAGTGTTGGTTGTTTATATTATCATGTTTGCCCTACTTCAGTAGCTTCGATTTTTTTGTTGGGAGGTGTTATAATACAAAAGACACCACTGTGTTTGACATGAGCGGAAAAGGTGGAGGATCGATGGGCCATCGGCCTCCCGACCCTTCTGGGAAGACAGGCGCAAAGATGGAAAGATACTGTAGGCGTTACTATATACAAGGACACCCTAAGGGGTGTCTATTGATAGCCCCTTAGAGGTTAAGGGGTGTCCATTAACCACCCCTTGTGGGTCCTAGTAGTGACTATTGTATATATATATATATAGAGTTGTTGTTTTACTTTATAGCTGTCTGTGGTCTGTGACCGCCAGCTTGGGTATATATAGAGTCATATAATATGTTATAAAAGGTCATAAACATAAACATACCTCAAGCCGCTTTCGTCACTATAGTCACTATAGTCTCAGTGAAAGATACTGGAGGTGTCGAAGATAGACAACACAACATGATACACTTGCAACAACTTGAAGAATTTCATGGCTCACACACCAGGCCATTGCCGCCCAGCAACCGAACCATACCGAACCATTGTTGCATTTCGGCATGCCCATTGAATTTGGGTGGTGATTTGGCAGTGTACCAGGGGTTTGGTTGTGGGGTCTAGTTAATGTTCAACCGGTTTCAAGCGTTTCAAGTCGGGAAAAACAACAACACCCCTCTTGCTGAAATCTGACATCAGATGCAGATTCCGCTTCCAACCAAGCCATGCGAAACCCCAGGCCTCTTCCTCGCCAGGAGTTCCTTCACCGGGCGCATCAAGTGAAGTCCTTGGAGTTGCACTTCGTGGCAGGGACGCCTAAGCTGTGCAGCCTCATGGGGTTCCCCTAAATCCATCCAAATCCGCCAAATGGTGAAGCCTAAGATGTGTGGTTTTACGGTGTTTTCATTGGTTTTCTCAGTTTTTTGGGGGGGTTGCCACCTTTGAACCCCCAAGTAGGGGAACCACCTAAGCTCTCATGAGAGGACGGTACGGTTCTCTTGCGGACACCTGTGAACCCCCACGAGTTCGTTGTGGGTCCGAACAAAAGATGGTTCCTCAGTATCTCAGGTGAAACGGAGTGGAAAGTCGCAGCAAAAATCTTAGGCTTTCCACGGAGTGAGACAATGACCGTCCATGAGTGATCCGAGAAATTGTCGATTCCAATGACCTATGAGTCATGATGAGTAAAAATCTATATAAATTTGGCCTAATTATTCCCGGTATGGTATGAGTCAGTAAATAAGTATCACTATTTTTGAGAAAGGCTTTTACTAACCATCATCCTCCACTGTTACTGGTAATATGATAGACCCAACCTAGTACCCCAGCTATAAGGAATTCTTTCATTGGCCTAATCCACCTACGAAGACCTACGCACTGGTGGCAACTGCCAACTGGATGTGCAAATCGACTCACTCTTATGTTCACCTCAAACATGTAGGAGCTGCCACACCGCAGCACGAAAGCCACACATGTGCTTCCACTTCTGCCAGACACACCTTTTTGCCTCGATGCCGCTGAAATCCAGGAATAAGGACAGAACACATGTTGTTGGCCCAATGAAACAGTTCATTATGTTCAAATCCAAACGGTCCTGTCCGGATGTAAGTTCTGTGAATGTACAGCCCATTGACAAACGGCTTGGTGCCGGAAAACGGGGAGAGTTCAACAAACAACGACAGTAACATAACGCCCCCTGCAAGATCGTGCCCTTTGAACAGAGCGTTGGTCTCACGCAAGATGAGGCTTGGCTTGACCGCCAAGGATCTTGGCTTGGGACGAACTCACCAAACTCAAAGCATGACGTGGGGACGTCTCTTCACGCCGACCTTGGTCCATGTAGGTTCTAGTTAACCTTGGTCCAAAGCTTGAGACCGGGGGGGTACACTGGTAGGCTTCGTCCTATCCGTCGCACGGGGTCGCGAGTCGCACGAAGACGACGATCTGTCCGCCTCAGGTGCCCAGAGGTCAGATGTATCGGAGTGAGGAAGCCACCGGCCAGTTAAGTCTTTGCCAAAGGCCTGGTCGGCCGAATCCGCCGGGAATTCCCGCGCCCATGGGCGGGTACGAAGTTGGTTTGTGCCCAAGAATCTACAGAATACAATATATGTGTGTGTATGTAGAGAGAGAGAGGGGGATAGAACTTGAGTGACCTCTATTTTGGATCACTCACCAACCAATAACTTTTCCTAACAAAATAATGAATATAGTGCGTATGTAAAAAATACATAAAGTCCAGGCCACCCTGGAAACATTGGGAGGTTTTTGGACATTCTCCAACAGTGTCAGGGGTACTTGTACTTTCAAAGGTGTGGCAAAGTTGCCTGGGGATTTTGAGAGGCCCATAGCTGTTGGGTGGCTTGTGGACAATGCAACTATAGTAGGAGGTCCTGTGGCCCGAGCCGGGGACTTTTTGATCTGGATTCCTACGAGGATTCAGTGTTTGCACCTTGAATCGAATGGATGTGATGAAGACAGTTGCTTGCCCTGACACACAACCCAGACACTCCATGACTCAAAAATATCCCACCTGGCATGGCAGTCTCATGCCAGTGCCATGTCCGTGTTGGGGAACAACGCTTAGCTGGGATTCCTTGTCACACTTGGCACGTTTGCATTCACTTGAGGAGCTTGACGTCGTCGCCCAACGGCACCCGGTCCGCTGGTTTTCCACACACCCGGCAACCCCCGGTGTTCCGCACGCGGCACCCCAAAGCAGACAGATCCGAGGGTGCCCTCGGAGGTTGGGGAGGTTTGACACCAGACCGGACCCTGGGCGAACCCGTCACGAACTTGACCATGACAACTCTAAGCATTCCAGCATTCCCTAATCAGTTATGTCAGTTTGGAGGGTCCAAGCACAAGACCTCAGAGGGTATGTGGGGTGGATCCCTAGGGCCCTAGGCATTGAACATACCTGTTCTCTTTTTGAGTGCTTTCGAGTTTGACTCTGAAACATTGGTGAGATCGGTTGAGTTTCAACACCACCTCGTTCTCCTCCGTTGACCAAGCCACCGCTCCTGCTGGTGAATCTCACGGGACGAGGTGCCAAGCGCTGGGCCGTGAAATCACCTGTGTGGTACACGAGCGACATGTCCGCAGCCGGGTGAGTAGAAAGGGAGGGATATGAATGGAAACACCGACCTTGAAGCAATTGGATGTGGCTGGGTGTGACTGACATGGCGTTTGCATGTTCTGTTGTCCTTTTTGAGTGTTTGAACATGCAAACGTGTTGCGATTGGAAGAAGTCATTGGTGCTCCGGGTTTGGCTGTGAAATCCGTCGGAGTGGGTGACGCGACTCCGCTTGGGGAGACCTCCAAAGGTTCTTTTGCACATGTTTGAAGAAACAGGTCTGTGCTGGATCTGCAATACAGCCTGGGCATCCACTTCGATACAGCCTGAGATTCAGATGATGTACACCTGATGATCACCGTGAACACCTGATGATCACCGTGAACACCTGATGATCACCGTGAACACCTGATGATCACCGTGAAGGACTCGAGCAAAAACTAACAATGGATCCCATGACCGGGCGTCGCTTCTTTCCGCGCGGAGCTCTTCCGCTGGGTGTTGTGTTGTGCACTCGACACTGAGGATGCCATTGCTCGACTTTATCGAGGAGGACGGCGACGGCCGCAGCGGTGCTGGGCGGTGCCACGGCTGGTGCCACGGCTGGTGCCATGCAGCAGCCAAAGACATGACAAGTTGACATCTATTGATCTCTATTGACATGTCAATAGTGGAAATCAACTTGTCATCATCTTGGACTATTGACTGCAACTTAACATTGACCTATGTTTCCCATGTTTTTGGGGGGGATGGTTTTATTGGGGAGATTTCATCCTTGAAGTGTGCATGGAGATGGATGAAATCTCCCCGTGGCGTGCCGAGTTGGTTGGAATCTACCATCAGCGTCCCATTGCCCGCCCGCAGTTGCCAGGTGTGGGAATGAAGGGCTTTTGCCAGCAGAATGGAACGAGTTGAAGATATAGGATAAGCATCAAATGGATTGATGGCTTCTTTCTTGTTTTGAACATGGGATGATTGCCCAAATTTCAGAATCAGCAGAGTACCATGAGAAATTATGATGTTGAAATAGTGCTGCCTTTGTGGATATGTTAAGTGTTCATCAGCAAGTTGATTTCAGAGGATCAACATGCTTCATTGCAGACTTCGTTTCGTTTTTTGTATTGGTTGTCTGACCTGCAACCTTTGATCAAAGGGGTTGCTTGAATTGCTTGCTGTTGAATCAACCCACACCCACACCATAAATTTATGATACGAGACAATCACACGCTGTAACCATCCCTCACACCATGTGATCCTCATGCCCACATGTATTTTCTCTCTCTCTAAGAGTCTTTAAGGGAGGCCAGAACCAAAGGGCTTTAATGGGCTTTATATACATAGACACGCGGTAGATCAATGTGATTTGGGCCTTGTTTGGATTCGTATGAAAACCCCCGAGTCGTCGAGACTTCTCGTGCAGTCCGCCGTTGGTCGCAGTCCGGTGCGGTGCACATTGGGTTTCACAAAAGGAGAACCAACAAAAACACATCTCAAACCCACACCCTGGTGATTCGGCACGTCCGTTCACAACAAAACCGGTCCGTTTACATCGCGTTTGTCCGCCATGTGATTCCGGTCCAGGAGATTCGATCCTCAAGTGATCCACCCTTCCTGAGAATTGCCTACAGCCCCGCCAGCAGCTAAGACTGGGTTAGATCCAGCGCATGGGACTGGGTTTACACCATGATGTACTCAGAGCTTTATAATGATATATTCCTGGAGTTATCGTTAATACACGAAATGCATCGAAGTTCTGAATGCCGCCGGACTGGCCTGTCATGCTTGTCACACCTTCCCTTCAGCCTCCAGAAACATGATGCAGATTGCCTGTAGATGGGCAGGCCATTTCTGCCTGCATCGTATGGACTTTTGAGGCTTTGGCGCGGTTGCCGATGGGAGATCCAAGTGATCAATGGGAAGCTGCGCTGAAGAGGCAGTTCTCGTTGGGTGGGAGCGTTTTTTCAATGTTCGTTCGACTCAAGACGTCTTGGTGGGTCAAAGCAAGCCTTTCGGGTTTCCTGTCGTGGCCCTTGGCAGTTCAGACATATGGACCTGTGGAAACACAGACATAGGTCCAAGTGGGACCTCCTGTGCTTATTCATAGTGAGGTAACATGAGGTAACTAATTACCACCTGTGTGCAGGTAGAGGGATGTAGGGTGCGGATGAAAAAGTGGTATCTTGTTTACCTTGACATGCTGGAAAAATAACGTTCGACATCATAGATGACTAGATGATACTAGATGAATCTAGCTGACCACTTATGACATATCATTACGAAAGCCAGCCCGTCGAAGCAAAGCTGAAGCAAAGCAATGAGAGTGAGCAGGGGTTGGGTGACTTGGTGGTGCAGAAAACGCATGTTGCATTGTAGTGGCATCGTTTGCATCAACAGTATGTTTTTTTGGAAGATGGCTTTCGGAGCCGCGCCTTGCTTTTTGCTGGTGGGCTGCTCTTGTTTTTTTTTGCCGGTAGAGTAGTTTTTGGTGCTGCTTAGTTTGCTGGAAGCATGCTTACAGATCCCACAGATCGCTTCTGGCAAGGCCCTTTTACACTTTGGTCGCTGTGTGTTCATATACAGCCTCTTGGTATTGGTACTTTGTCAACTTATATCAAATTACCATATATGTAGGACCTGGTCCAACCTGGTTTCTAGCTTTCTCAGGTCCAACATTTTACAAAACCAGCATCCCCTTACTCTCAGGTGTTGGACTTCGGAATATCCTAAGTACTTGGATTGTTAGCCGTTTGGCGTTTGGGGGGACACCTTCCAAGATGTACACGGAACGCCCCACCCGGGGCTTTCGCGCCGACCGCGCAGGTTAGCCGACCTCCAGGACGATGCCCTGTTCGTCATCACCGAGCGGACCTTTGCAGACATGCAAGCGGACGGGTCCTCGGTTTCGGGTCTGGGCGGTAGACCGGCGGAGACCGGCAGTGGCAGTGGCAGTTCTGGGTGGATGGACTTATGATTCATGGGCATGTAGATGCCAAGACCGAAGCTCACAAGGATGCACACTCACTTCATCTTTGCAGCACTTTTCACATGTGCAAAGCTTGGTTAGATTCACACCTGCAAAGCTGGCAGGACAATGCATAGGTAGCTCAAGTCTTTGGGGTGATGTTCAAGCCTGGGGGTTCTGTTCTTCTAAGCCAAGTTGAACTCAGGCAGTCGTCAGCACACGCATGGAGATTTGAGGTGCACGGCTCTAGAGAATAGTATGTTTTCGCTAGGTCTAGGTCTTCATATGCCCTAAGGCTCCAGTCGTGCCTCCTCAGAAGGTATGACTGGACCCTTTAAACCTACCTCAGTCCCTCGAAACGAAGGTACGACTCGAGCCCTATAGGGTATGGTTTGCTCGGAACCGAGATCGCGCCGGGTTCGACCCCGAAAACGACAGCAGTGCCCGAAGCGGCGGAACTGGCAGGATGAGGAACGCATGGAGGACTGCGGATTTCACTGCGTGGCACTGCCCTCAGGCGGATCAAAAGCGTTTTTTCGGTGATCAGAGTCGGATCGGATCGTGTTGTTTTCGGCCCCGCCAAGAATTAGATACTAGGAGGAAGATGAGGAAGTGGCGAAAAGCCGCAGGGGGTTGGATCTTTAACATGTTTTGTCCTTTCACCAGTGGGTTTGGATGGTCCTATTTAATTGGAGCTATATGTCGTAATGTTTGGCATTGGCCGCTCAACCACTTATGCTTATTGAGTCCTTCGCATTGGAATCAACAAGTACCCATCGGTCGGTTCAACTGTTTGTTGGTGATGTTGAGCCCTATACACGATATATTGCCCACCAGCAGATTGAGGCAAAGATGGAAGCTATCCAGTCAGAAGAGGGCTTCGGCCGCGAAAACTGCCAGGAGAGGGGAAGGAGTTGTGGTCAAAATCACGATCACTTTCCTGCACCATCCTGGCTGGGTGTCCAGGCTGGAGATCCCTAAGTACTATAGTAGTGTAGGGTAGTCCAGGTAGGACACCCAGACTAGATGATCCTAGTTGGTTCTATCTTGTCTTTCGGTCAGAGCCGATCGCCGGTCACTTTGGCGTGTGGACTTGGAACCGGAACCAGCGGACCAGCTGCGTTCAACGCTGTTTGCCGACCTGTCCAAGTGACTCAGAACGACTGGGCGCGGGCGGCCCCTCAAGAAACATCAAAAAAACGGGGTTGCGACCCAAAGCAGAAGTTGTTTACATGTGGCCTGGAGAAGAAAAAACTATTTTGGAGAACACCGGGAGGGAGTGGAAAGTGGTTCTTGGAAGATGATGTTCCTTCAAAACAGGCTTCCAACTTCCAACGAACTTAAGCCATTTATGTTGGATTGATGATAGTATGTACGAGGCTTTTCTTACCCACACAGCCAAGGAAAAGACAGGAACTACAAATGATTCTGGTCATTGATGGCCACATGGCTGCCAAGTCGTGTCTTTCTGAGGTCCCATCGCAGAACAGCAACTTCCCCAGCCCATTGACACTCTTCGACGAGGTCCGAAGCGACGAGGAGTGGGTTTTGAGCGGTCCGCTTGGGGTTCCTTTGTAAAGCGCAAACAAGGGTGTTTTGTACTTTAACAGGGGACTTCGCAACGAATGGATTTGGTTGGTTTTTGCCCAGAGGTCTTTCTAGGGGTCTCACTATTCTAATACACATCCACAAGCTCTTTCAGGCTGTGTAGAATACACTGTGGGACTGCGGGAGTTTATACATGTCTATAATATGGCTCACAAGCCTGGGTTCCAGGGGTGCTTCGTGCAGCCAAACCTCGGCTCGGTCAGCTCGGTGCCGACGTTGAAACGATTTGCATGACAATCTACCTGGCACGGGGCAAACGCAAGTGCGCAGCCTCTTATAAATGCGCTAATATAGATGATAGTTGATATGCATGATTTTTATAGTTCCCCACATTGACGTGTGGTTCTTTTTTTTTTAATCTGGTATCCGCTCCCGCTCCTCCTTCGCTCCTCCTCCTCGCTCCGCACCTCCACCAACCAATTGTCACCAACCAATTGTCATCAACCAATTCAATTGTCATCAGCCAATTGTCTTCTCCAGAGGGTCGGATGTGCGCCCTGGCGCTGGCTGGGGCTGGTGGGTCTCCGCCGCTGTTCTGCTGTGATTTGCGTGCGAGGTGCTAAGTTGTGAAAAAACGCTGCCGGGTAGGAAACGCGCTCTTTCGGAAACGCGCGAAAACGCACTGAAAACGCAAGTACTGAAAACGCAGGTCAACATCAAGAAGAAACGCGCTTTTGCTGGAGGGGGCTTTGGCCATACCAATAGACCAAAATGCTTTTATCGGATTTGGATAAATGCAATTTGGGTGGTCTATGGACCATGTTCAAAAATTCTATGGAACATGTCCAAACATTTGGGTGGTCTATGGACCATGGTGTAAAAGCATTGGAAAAGCATTCTGGATGGACCATTTCCGACACACACACACACACACTCCCCCTTGCTTGGTACAAAGGAGATTCGGTTTATGAAGCATTTGCTTTTTTTGCAGTTGGGAAAAAGCATTTTGGGTGCACAATTTCCCACACAGAGTCTCCCTCTCTTCTGTCGCAAAGAGATTCCCTTTTTGGGGGCTGGTTTCCTCGTGCGGGGCTGGAGCAGTAAGCCGCACCCACCACATGACAGCATTTCTTGGTGGGGGCGCTTGCCTCCCCGCTAAGAGGAACCGTAAGACCAGCCCAGTATTCTCTCTCTCTCGATTGGTGGCATGAAGGAGATTCGGCTGATGATGCCTTTTGCTTTTTTTGCAGTTGGGAAAAACATTTTGGGTGGACCATTTCCTACACACACACTCTCTCCCTTACTTGGCACAAAGAAGATTCGGCTTATGCGGCATTTTGTTTTTTTGGAATTGGGAAAAAACATTTTGGATGGACCATATCCGACACACACACTTCGACAATTTGTATTCAGTTAGCTCAATTTCTCCGATGGGAAGGTTGGCGAAAAACCGCAAGGTGGAAAAGTCAGCTGAAACAGTATGGTTGAACATGGTTTCCAATCGCACTCGAAAGACGCGGCTGCAAAGCTGTGCAAGTCTGCGGTCGGCTGCTGAAAGAAACCTGTTTGTGGGGTGGAATACATGAAGAACCATGAAACAACACGCGGAAGAGTGGGGTAAACAGCTTGTGCAAAAGTTGTGTGGCAGGTACACACCAAAGCGTCCTTTGGTGCTTCCCCTCCAGCGACTTAGCTTCATTGGGCAAGGTTCGTCGCCGGAGGCCTTGCCCCCCTGCCTGTGAAAGGTGGTGGTGGAAAACCCTTTGTCCAGGGGTGGACACACACAAGTCGCCGCGTTCGGCGCTTTTTTCAAAAACCGGTGGCAGGCGTGATAGTTATGCCCCTTTTGGACATATAGGCCCATGAGTTCAGCCGCAGCAGCTTCAGCGCTGGAAGGTGGAAATGTGTATTTTCGAATGGTGTGGAGTCGTGATTGGAGGCCTGATAGAGCCAAGCGCTGGCTCCCGGCGGTTGTGGAATCCCGGATTTTCCAGGGTTGGGAAGGTTGCATGTAGGTGATGGTGCGTTGTGGGAGGTCGATGTTGAAACCGAGGAGATGGAAATCCTCCACCGGTTCGAGTTCCACTGGGTCGCCAAAGAAATTGTGGTGGATGAGGGTTTGGATGGCCGGGTGTTGAAGGAAATGTTCGTTGTGGACAATGAAGCGGTTGTCGACATAGCGATAGTAAGTAAAGTGGAGGTCTGTGTGTTGAAGGAGGTTGTTGTGGAGCTGATGCCAGGAATGCTCAATGAGGGTGATGGCAACATTGCATAGGGCTGGAGAGAGCTGGGATCCAATCCCGGCCCCTCGGATTTGTTTGTAAGTATTGTTGCAAGCCCGGAAAATGCATGTGTTGAGGGCAAAAGCCACGATGGTGGTGATGTCGGAAGGCTGGATGGTGCGTTGGGTAGGGTGTTTTCGATGGTGTCTGCCAATGTGTGAGTGGTGGAAGGGATTGCCGGTGGCCTGGACGTCCACCGTCAGGGTGTGTGTGGGTTGCTGTTGTTGCCAGTGGTGGACGAGGGAGTGAACCGCATCGATGAGTCGGTGCTGCGGGACGGAGTTGAAGAAACCGACCAGGTCATCGTTGGTGGCGTGTAGTGAGATGTCTGGTGGGGTTTGGGTGAGGTAGCTGTGAAAATGGTGCCAAAGCTGGGGAATGGACATTTGGCCGGGATGTTGAGGGTAGAGGTGTTGGAGGATGATGTCAAGGGCACGGCTGGTAATGCGAAGCAGGTTGCCACTGAGTGATTGGAAGTATGAGATAATTGTACGGCCTTTTTGCCAGTGCTTCTTCTCTTTGAGGTGGACAACGCCATAGGGAATGTTGAAGTCTTTTCGGAAGCCCCACTTGTAGCGAGTGCGCAAAATGGGGGGGACAGTGGCGGCCAGGTGATCGTGGATATTGGCGGCATTGATGTAAGGAAGTGGTTCAAAAAGTTCAGGGGATTGCCATGTATTCAAGACGCCAGTGAAATATTGGCGAGGGCAAAACAGCCTGAGTTGTTGGAGCTCATGGTCGGCATGGTGAAGTAATGTGTGTTGGCCAAGATGTTCTTGGAGTTGGCGAAGCAGGCGAGCCGTAAAACGGGGTTGCTGCTTGAGGTGTGTGTTGTGGAGGCGCCATTGGTGCTCAAGGAAAGGCTGCAAATGTTGAACGAGGGATGGTGGAAGCCCTTGTAGTTTGAGCCATTTAGTGTAGGCCGTCTTGAAAGTGATGAAGTAGCGAGCCTTGCTGGGGTAGTAAGTGCTGTTCATATTGGCATTGAGAAAAATGCCGAGATGAGTGGGGAGTTGGAGTTGGTCAAGTGTAAGGATGTAGTGGCCGTTGATGGTAGGGGTATCGGGATCCTGCTAGAGGGTGCGAAGATGATCGCATGCACAGGGGAGGTCTGCTGGATCTGGCGGGGAGTGAAGGGTGTCCTCCCATGTGCGGTGGTTATGCAGGTGGGAACGGAGGGTTTTGTGTGCAGCTTCTCTCAATCTGTGGGAGGGGAGGTGGAGGGGGATGGTGAAGTGCTTGTGCTGCTGAATGGTGGTACGAAGCCATTGGTGGGAGTGCTTGGTGAAATCGTCGTGGGCCAGAAATGGTACTGTCAATGGAATATTTGGTTTTGGCGGTGTGAGGTTGCGGTAGAGGAGGGCTTTGTTGAGGATATGGAGAGCCCTGCTGCGGCCGGGTTCTTCAAGGTTTGCGGCCATACGTCGGATTGCATAGACTTCAAGGTCCGTGTGGCGGCCGCTTCGTAGCTCTTTGGCTGCTTCAAAAGAGGCTGCGGTGTGTTTGGTAAGGTTGCGGAGAAGTTGGAGGGCGTGATGCTTGGTGGAGGTGTAAAGGTGTGGTTCTCTGAGGGTGTACTGGCGTTGCCTAAGGCGTCGAAAGAGTCGTTTGTGGGTTGCTAATCTGGAGTAGAAATGGGCTCTGTGTTTTGTGAACTGCCAGCCCTGAGCTTTGAGCTTGAGGTGGTGGGAAATGAAAGGCCAGTTGAGCGTAGGCATCCAGTTTGCGATGTAGTGGTGCTCTTGGATCCAGGCTTGGTCGTACGTGTCATGGGAGGTAAGTTGAATGGTAGTGTAGTGGTGGATGTTGTTGTGTGAGTGCCAATAACGTAAGGAGAGTTCTGCAGAGATGGGGATGTTGTTCTGGAGTTGCTTGAGTTTGGCACGGCGATCGTGCTCGCGGTGGGGAATGCCAATAGCTGTGGAGCCAACATAGAAGTGGCCATGTTGATGGTAGCAGCGTTGGGGCTGGTCGGAATTGAAGTGGAGCTTGATGTAGACGGAATTTGAGGAGAGGAAGTTGTGGTAGTGGTGTGTGTGGGGCAGGATGTGGAGCTGGCGGAGACGGTTGCGCCATTGTTGTGAGCGACGGGTGTTGGAAGGGTATGCGAAAAGGAGTGTGATATGGATGAGGCCGGTTGCAAAGATGGCCTCGGCACGGTCGATGTATTGGGTGCGGTGAATGAGTATGGAGAGTGCTCGGTGCAAGTGGAAAAGTTGGGTGAGGTTGGTGTGGCTGGGTTGCTGCTGGGCAAGGATGGCGAGTCAGCACCCGATGGCTGCTCCAACACCCACAAGCTGTTGTAGGCTGCGAATGGGGAGCCGGTTGACCCGGTTGAGGGGTAGGCCATACCTTGTGGCTGCTTCTTTTAGCTGCTGCGTGGTGACTTTGCTTGTTTGCAGCAAACGAACGACGTCCTTGGCGGCTTCTTGGATGGTGGGGTCGAAGGTAGTGACCGATTGTTGGATGTCTGGGTGGTTCCAGCCTTCGGGGACATCGTCTTGCAGCGTTGGATGTGGTGGTTGCAAGACGTCAGTGAAGGCTGGTGGTTTGGGTGGTGGTGGAGTGGGTGCATGGGATGGGGCGGCCGGTGCGGAAGATCGGCTGGTGCTCTTGACTGGGGTGAGTGGGTTGCCCAGGTCGTGGAGCTTTTGACGTGCACGGGCCAGTTCGTCGTTGGTGTTTTTGAGGGCGCGTAGAGCGGTGCCT